TGAGGTGGATATCTCACGCCTGGAAGGCAGTGCCGGCTGACCTCATCAAGCGCGCTTTCCTCACCTGTGGCATCAGCAACGAACTTGACGGCAATGAGGACGGACTCGCCATGGCGCACAGGCGGAGCCAGCTGACAGCGGAAGTGGATGTCGAAGATGACATCATCGCTGATGGTTTTTTTGGCAACAACTGCAAGGAACCCGAATTTGACGAGGAGAAGTAGAAGGGGTACTCGTAGATCTTTGTTAGGCAGAAGTATCCCAGTTTAAGTTGTTGTTAGAAGATCTAGGATAATCTGTGGTTGTAGTTGCTACCGTTATGATGGTAGTCTAAGAAAATGTTACATTTTAGTGATTTCTTTGTAATACCCTCCTATAAAAGTTTAATGGATGCGCTTATAATAAGTACAGGCACAACAGAAGGTGCGCTTATGATCGAGTAACGGCCATAAGCGCCATGCTCCATATAGAAGCACCGGCGCCTATAATCGGACGGCGCCTATATCCGGGGTGATACGGTACTATGGCAACACCATTCAATTCTTTGTAATATCAGCAACACCAATCATTCTGTGTGTACAGAGCATTTCTTTATACTCTCACTACCACTTACTACGTCACATCAGTTCTCTGCCACATTCCCACATTGCTAAGCTACACAAATCCTCTACAATACGATATTCATGTCAAAGTACAATCTTACTTGTAGGCTATAGTGGGGCACTCCTTATGGGGTACAGCACTTCTAGGGTTAGTACTTGTACCCCAACTCTTGCTAATCCAATCATTCCTGCACAGTTATTCTGACATGGTATTCAGAGCAGGAAACCTGTTAGGTTTTTAGGGCCCACCGATAGTTCGGCTCTCTCCTGCCCGAAGCGCCCTTGCGCTGTCCGGCCTTGCTCGCTCAGTGTCGCGCTGCCCTGAAGCTACTCGCACTGCCTACCCTAGCGCGCTGCCCAGCTGTCACGCGCGCCCCTCCTGCCTGCGAGCGACTACTGCCCCGCGCGCCCCTACTGCCCGCAAGCGGCCCTTGCCCAGCGCGCCCCTACTGCCTGCGAGCGGCCCTTGCCTCGCGCGCCCTACTGGCCGCGAGCAGCCCCTGCCCCGCGCGCCCCTGCTGCCCGCGAGCAACCCCTGCCCCACGCGCCACTGCTGCCCGCGAGCAGCCCTTGCTCCGCGCGCCCCTGCTGCCCGCGAGCAGCCACTGTCCTGCGCGTCGCGCCCTGCTGCAGCCCGCGCGTCGTGCCCTACTGCCCTGCGCGTCGCGCCCTACTGCAGCCCGCGCGTCGCGCCCTGCTGCAGCCCGCGCGTCGCGCCCTACTGCCCTGCGCGTCGCGCCCTGCTGCAGCCCGCGCGTCGCGCCCTGCTACAGCCCGCACGTCGCGCCCTGCTGCCCTGCGCGTCGCGCCCTGCTGCAGCCCGCGCGTCGCGCTCTGCTGCTCCGCGCGTCGCGCCCTACTGCAGCCCGCGCGTCGCGCTCAGCTGCCCCACGCGTCGCGCCCTGCTGCAGCCAGCGCGTCGCGCCCTGCTGCCCTGCAAAGCGCGCGCCCTGCTGCCCGCGCCGCCCAGGCCTAGCCGCGCCGCCCAGCCCGAACCGCCCTGCCCAACCCGAGCCGCCCTGCTACTACTACTACTGCTGCTGCTGCTCGTGCTACTGCTGCTGCTGGTGGAGGTGCTGCTGTGAGTGCTGGAGGTGTCGCCGCCCAGCCCCACCGAGCCGCCCTGCTGCTACTACTGCTGCTGCTGCTGCTCGTGCTACTGCTGCTGCTGGTGGAGGTGCTGCTGGTGCTGGAGGTGCTGGACCTACTACTGACCGTCACTGCCTGTCATGGCCACTATCACGCAATTGCAGCGGCTAGGAGTGGACAGCAGCGGTCACTGCCTCTCCCGGACGACCCCACCCATCAGCAGCTTCGTGAGTGGGTTTTTCAGCGAGCCCGTCCAAGTGGTGGAGGCTTTGGTTTTATGCGTACTGCACAGAGGCGGCAGCAGAGTCAGCAGGCGACCTTCTCCCCGCATCTGCTTAGTGAGTTGGTTCCTCAGCGATGTGTCACTGGTTCTGTAGAGGCTGCTGCTCTAGGTGCTAGTGAGTCTGCTACCGCACTCGGTGCTAGTGAGTCTGCTGCCGCTCCAGGTGCTAGTGAGTCTGCTGCCGCACTCGGTGCTAGTGAGTCTGCTGCTGCTCCAGGTGCTAGTGAGTCTGCTGCCGCACTCGGTGCTAGTGAGTCTGCTGCTGCTCCATGTGCTAGTGAGTCTGCTGCAGCTTTAGGTACTAGTGCGTATACCGCCACAGGTTCTGCCTCAGCTGAGGCCTTGCACACTTTCACGCTTGACTCAGGCGCGTCACGTTGCTTCTTTCGTGAATGCACCACACTCACACCACTTGCTGCACCGGTACCAATCTCACTGGCTGACCCCACTGGGGGCCCAGTAGTCGCACGAGCCTCCACTGTCCTCCCGTGTCCAGCAGTCCCCTCCGGTTCTCTGTCAGGTCTCCACCTCCCCACGTTCTCGACGAACTTGGTGAGCAACGCTGCCATTCGGGATGTCTGGGTTGATACCTTTATTCCTGGAGGGCAGCGTGTGGCGATTTGTACGTGCTCCCGGACTGGCCGTCACCTAGCCACGTTCTCTCGACGGCCTGGGTCTAGTCTGTACACACTGACCACTGTGTCTGCACAGGTGGCTGAGTCAGATCAGGTGGCTGCGTCGAGTCAGGTGTCTTCGCCTGGTCAGCTTGCAGCGTCTTGCTCGTGTCGGGTACTCTCCCACCAGACTCTCCTCTGGCACCACCGCCTCGGTCACGTAAAGTGAAAAGAGTGGGACATAGTACTGTTCATTCATTTGCCCATCTGTTTCCATCGTCTCGTTGAGTGCATGTGCTTGTGTGATGTGAACACATGAGATTTAAGTTGGATGTTTTTGTAACATATGCATGCATGACAGTTCTTGAAAACAAATGGAAGTCAGGAAAGTGTGGACATACCATGGAAAATGGTGTGACTGTGATACACATGTCCCGCGATAATTCCACACCCTGAAACCCCCGAACCGCGCCGAAATTTGCCCCAGGGGGTGTGAAAATAGACCTAAGGAAAAAAGTTCCCCGTAATTTCACACTGGGGTCGAGGATGGGTTGGTGCTGACTTGGACCGAAATTTCTTGGCGATCATCTGAGATTTCTCTAACCAGTCTGGAACCACCACGTCAGGATTCCATTTGGGCACAATCTGAATCAGCTCGAACTGAAAGTCCCCACACCGGCCCATCAGACAGCTCGTAGTATAAATTGGGTCATTCCTCCCCAGAATCACCCAATGTCCCACCACGCTTCGGCAGAGCTGCGGCTCGAATTTGTGCCGATGACATCGAAGCGCGGGTGTGAAAATAACCCTAGTGAAATTATCGCGGAACAGGTGTACCGGGAAGTGATTATATCAGCATGACACATCGAGCACCTGTGGCGACAACGAGTCCTGATTCTCTGTTGGCGTCTTCCCTTTCGTCGATGCATGCCATTGGCCAGCTCCCGTCCAGTACCGGCCAGTGGCACGTTTTGTTTGTGGTGGTGACCATTGCGGTCAATGGTCAATGGCAAGCGGATCTTTCTGTTTCGTAGAGGCTTCCTTCCCACCGTCGATCGCATCCTCGTTTGAGCGTTGTTTCCCATCAACGGTGCTGGTCTGTCGTAAAGCATCGAACCAAATCCAACCACGGACAAACCACTCTCTAAATTCTAGTCTGCCATTCCCCTTGTCCCCTTCCACCCACACAGCTCCCCCACCCCCCCCCACCCCCTATTTGATGCCGAGCCGAGGTGCAAGTGCGGTGGGGCAAACTCGTTCAGAATATAAACGGTCATATACGGTTCCGATACGTTAGAGCATGGTACAGTCTGCTGGCGGCTCGAGCACACACCCAATGATTTCGATGGAATGGTGTGATGTGCTGTGCGTCTGAGCTATGTGCACCTCGTAATCATCTCTCCGTAATCCCAAGTTTGGATGGATAGCAACCAACGCCAAGTCATGACGGTAGCGTATCTCACGGAGCTCTCAATCAACCAGCCGTCAATAAACCAGTCGTCAATGGACGAGCCGTCAATAGGCCAGCCGTCAATGGACGAGTCGCGTAAACTTTCCAGACGTTCGCAATCGTTAGGTAGCGCAATGAGCGGCGAACGGACAGCCATGGCGCAGGGTCCACGGAACGCGGAACCAACCGGGACTGGGTTCCGCCATCGTTCACTTTCCGCAAGTTCTCGCGGCTTTCCCGCCATTCGAATCGTCATCCCCGCCGACGACGACGACGACGCATGCGACGACACGCGGTGCGACGACACGCCGTGCGACGACACGCCGTGCGACGACCCGTGCGACCGAGCGAGAGATGATGCCGCGACGCGGCCCCACTCCGTTCAAGCAGCCCCCTTTCCCATGCCACGTGGCAACTCCGTAGAGGTCGACCGCCTGTGGGAGGTCCACGCGTCGCCGTGCGAATCAAATTTGACTGGGGAAACGACAAATCGGCGCCAGGAACGACTAGGGGGGGCTGTCAAAGGGGAGAAGAAAGCGCGGAATGCGGAAGGAGCGGGCTCGTCCACCCGCGCGCCGAAACAGTCTCCGCTGGGTTCCGCCAGCGGGTTCGCGCGCATGCTGCTGCAGTGGGCGCCTTCGTCGGCGCGTAGCAGCCGCCGCAAGAAACGCAGCGATTCTGCGACCTTCGGCTTTCAGGCGCCCCGGTCCCAAAGCGTTGTCCAATCATCGCAAAGCCAGCGCGTTGCTGACGTCAGCTCGGAGCTGAACCGTGACGCGTCAGCTCGCGCGTCGGCATCAGGTACCGCGCACTCCGCGGTTCGCCCTGGGGCTGCGCCAGCAGTCGAGCCGTGGCGCGGGTTTTCCGCCCGTCCGCGCACGGCGCCAAGCGGAATTTTCAGCCGGTGGCGCTCCGCCACGCCGCTTTCCCGCCCAAAATCTCCGCTGTTCGGCCTGACGTACATGGGAGCATCGGCGCGGCGGGGAGTAAGCGGGGCGTTGCCCGAAGGGAATGAGCTGTGCGAATTAGGCGATACAGCGGCGTCGGCAGACACGAATAACGGAGCAGCTTATAACGGAGACAGGCTCCGCTCTATATTTGCACAGGGGACGAGCTTTTCGGCTGCTAGTGAGCGGCCGTGGAGCAGCGGAGGGTGGGGCGTGGCGGACGGGGCGGGGGAAAGCGTTTCGGAGCGCGGGGACGCGGAGAGGGAGGATATAGAGCGGCGCGTTTCGTACAGTAGCAGCATTGCTGGCGCGGCTGGTAGTGTAGTTAGCAGCAGCACTGCGGCTTATACTGAAACTGCTTATAGCGAGTCGCTGATTATCCAGCACACGGATCGTGACACGGATTGTGAGAGTGTGACGTCAGCATCTAGCGGCAGCGGGTACGACGCGCTTGCGTGGGGGGGGTCCGCGCCGATGGGAGGAGAAAATGCGCCAATGGGCGGAGGGAACGCGCCGATGGGCGGAGGAAACGCGGTGATCGGCGGAGGAAACGCGCTGACGGGAGACGAAAGCGCGCTGATGGGGGGGAGAAACGCGCGGCTGGGTGAAACTCTTGCGGACGGGAACGGCGGAGACTTCGCGACCCTCTGGCGGAGCCTCCCCCGCGACCTGCGGCGCACGCGGTCGCTGCAGAGCCCGCGGGGGAACGCACAGGGGTATCTCGGGGGGAACGCGGGGGGAGGTTTTGGGGGAGAATCGAGGGGGGATGGCGGTCACGTGACGACTGGTAGCATGCGACGTGTGGGTAGCGAAGAGATGTTACCACCTAGCGCAGACCCGCTTACCCCCTCCGCGCACACCCCCGCGGATCTCAACCCCACGTCCCCGCGGTCTGCTGGCGGCGCCGCGTGGGTGGTGAGCGTGCCGTCGTTCGCGCAGCATCGCCTGCGCGTCGCGTCGGCGGAACGGGCCACGCGCGGAAGGGGTGAGGGGCGCGGAGGGGACGAGGGGCAGGGGGGAAACCCTGCGCGGGGAGGGGGCGAGGGGCCGGGGGGAGACGCTGCGCGGGGAAGGGGGGAGGGAAGGATGGCAGACCAGCACTCGCAAGATCACCAGCAGCAGCAGCACTCTCAGCAGCACTCTCAGCAGCACTCTCAGCAGCACTCTCGGCAGCCAGAGCAGGAGCAGCAGCAGCAGCACTCTCAGCAGCAGCCACAGCCGCTGCCGCCGAGGTCTCACAGGCGAACACGCAGCCTGCATGCAGGCGAGATGGAGTGGAAGAGGCTGGAGCAGATCGGCGAGTTCACCATCCCCTCCTTCCACCACTCGCCTTCCACTCTCCGCCACGCTCTCCCTTCCCCGTCCGCGCCCCTCACCTCTCCCTCCTCGTCCGCGCCCCTCCTCTCCCCCTCGCTGCAATCCCGGCTCCGCTCCCCCTACTCGCCTCGCCTGCCTCCCCTTTCCCCCAGAGTTGCAGCTAAACCCCGGTCACTGCCTCACCCAAGCGCTCAGCACCCAATCGTGCCGCACGCAGCCGTGCCACACCCAGCAGCAAACTCAATATTCCCCAACTCACGGAGCTCCGGTTCCCTTACCTCTTCCAATCGCATTCGCGTTTCCGTTTGCGCCTCAGTTCCACCTTTCCCACAGCCACCGCCTGTGTTTTCCCCGTCTGCCAAGGGACCCCCCAGAAAGGCCACACAGAATGGCTTTGAGGCGCCTCAGAAACCGGCTGAAGTTATTTCCATGGAAGAAAATGGGGGTAGATTCAGGGGTGCTAGTTTGGAGGCGCCTCCAAAATCCACTACACCCAGGCAGCCGTTTCGACGGTGCAAATCGTTCGGCGCTGGAAGAAGCGTGTGTGATTACAGCGGAGCTTCTGCTTACGGTGTGATTGCCAACAAGGGCGACGATGGTGGTGGCACCCTCATTCCTGACGGCTGCCTTGCAGAACGGACAACGGCCCGTCCTCCTCAGGATAGTGGTGTTCAGGTCGGTGCAATGTGGTGCATGGTGCCTTCAACGGCAGAGTCAATGGCAGCACCACTGCCGCCCTTGCCTCTGCATGCTGCCGCACTTTTCCCACGGGCGGTTTCCGCACCACCCGTTGCATCTGACGTTTCTGAGCCGCCTTGCAATTTTCCACAGGCGGTTATCAGTCCTACGGGTGTGATATCCACACCAGAAGCGGCTGTATCAGTGGAGACATTACCACTGGGTGTAGCGTGGGAACCAGCGGCTGTAGCGGAAGCGGTACATGTGGCGCCACGCGATTGGGTGGAGGACTCGTATTGCTACCTGAAGGATGAGGATGGGGTTGCTGTTCCCTCTGGCGATGAGTGGAGCGGCTATAATGGGCGTGAGTGTCAGAATGGCTGTACGGAGGGTGACTGCATCATGAGTGACTGTAATGCGAGTGACTCCAAGGCTGTAATGACGCAGCATGAGCAAGGCAGTTACTTACAGTGGCAGCAGCAGCATGTTCCATCTTATGGAGATTAATTGTGCTGATGCTGTATGGGAAGACAATAAAAACCCTACAGCAATCATGAGAGCACCTTTGGTCCAATAATGCTTGATTGTTGGAATCATTGTTATGGTAGATACGGGGAACAATGTTGGCCCTACCTTGGTCTGTTAGAACGTTTAACCTTAGAAACTCAGGAGCAGCTAGATTGTTGAGTTAGATTGTTCCTGTGAGGATCTTTGCTGCATGAAGCGAACACTGATGGACATGCTTCATTGACGTAGTTTTAGGTGTATATAGACTCTAATGAACGTGTTCCAGTGTAACACATGAAGGGCAATTTACCCTAATTTCATGTCCTTCCCCTTCTCCTGTTTCAAGCATCCTGAAATTCAGCAACGCGACGCGCATGCTCCCTGCATCATCGCTTCTGGATGCTATAGCGCTGGATCCCAACCCAAAGCGACAAACATGATTCATGAATGCAGGCCAACCTTGATAATTACATGGCGGTCGATGTAGGCTTGGCAGAAATCAGAGATGCTCGGCGACATCTAGGTTTGGCTGCTTGGCCTTTCGCGCGGCATCATGTAGGTTTGGCTGCCCGCTTCGCTCGGAAGTCCGTCAGTTTCGCATGAGGTAGGATTCAACCGTCATGACCCCACTGCTGAGCCTGGTCCCGCCTCCGCTCTCCGTCAATTCTTATCGTTTCTCCGTCAATCCGTCACGAATTCCGGCCAAAACCGTTACTATCCCGTCAGTACCGCATCCACGCTTCGAGAACGAAGCGATTCAAACCGCGAGCCTACATGCTGCGCGCCGAGCGTCAAGCCCCCTCAGGCGCCTGCTGCACGTCGTTGTTGTGTGAAATGCCGCGCGAACCCACGGAAAAGCGGTTCTCAGAGAAAGAAAATGGCAATTAGGAGCGAGCGATCGAGCCCGCCGGTCCCAGGTCCTGCTACCGGCAAGCCCAAGGGTTTCGGCGGACTCTCTCTCCGTGCTCGACGCCGCTCGGACAAGCAGGATTCTAGGACGAGCAATTCGGGCTGTGACCCAGGAGACCCGGGTTCTGAGCTATTTCTTTCGCAAAACTCGTCGCAAGGGGTCGGGGGAGTAGAACCAGTAACCTCGGAGGATTGTTCAAGCTTAGAGTCGGTTTCAGGGGAGCCGTTTCCGTGCTTAGGGCCTGCGGTAGCGCCTGAACCGCAAGGAGGAATCCCCTCAGCAGTTACCACAGCCAGATATGGCGTTGCGAATAGCTACAATCGCGAAAGTCGCAGCGTTCGCGAAAATCTCAGCAATCGCGAGAGGCGCAGCGGTCGCAGTGCCAGCCACGGAACGCACGACAACATCGAGGCTGGCTCGGGAACAATCAGGCATCAGACGAGGCCGTGTCAGGATGTGGGTTTACTCCCCAATAAGGGTCAAGGGTTGAGCGCAGCTTCCGGCTTCCGCGCTTTAGCTTCCGCCACCAGCCACGATTCAGATTTTGCCACCCGCGCTTCAAGCTCCGCCACTCCCACTTCAACTTCCGCCACCCGCACTTCAACTTCCGCCACCCGCGCTTCAACTTCCGCCACCCGCGCTTCAACTTCCGCCACCCGCGCTTCAACTTCCGCCACCCGCGCTTCAACTTCCGCCACCCGCGCTTCACCTTCCGCCACCCGCGCTTCACCTTCCGCCCTCATCGCGCCTGGTGACATTGGCTTCCGCCCCTCGCGCACTGGGCCGGGCGGCCGTAAGCGCATGTCTCGAACAGTGACCAATCGGGTGGCGAGAGCCGTGCACGCGCTGCTATTGGCTGCTAGATCTGACAACCGATCTGACAACAGGCGGGGGGAAGCGCCACTGGGTGAACTTCGCAGACTGAAGAAGCTTCCGGCGGGTTTCCTGCGATCGATCGCTGAGGAGCTGTGGCGCCTGCAGGAGTTTGAACTCGCAGCAGATGTGAGCTAACAAGGAAAGGAGGTATTTTACCTTTTTGGGCTTTGTTTTGCTTTGTTTTTGTGTTTTTTTCCCCTCTCTTCCCATTGCTGAAATTTCAAAGGTTCGAAAGGTTGACGTAGTAATAGCAGAAGTATGCGATGCGGCTGTGTCTCGAGGTCTTTCACTTACTCCAACCTGCCACCTGCTGTTGAGAATTCTCTAAGGCCTCACGTCATTCACCCCTCTCTCCCCCGTCTCTTTTTCCCTCCTCTTCCCCCCTTCCCCCATCTTCCTCTTCTTTTTTTTCCTCTCTTTTTCCAGGTCCTTGAGTCAGTCCCACCAGCCATGTGCTCTGATCACAGGCGATCAAATTCATCAGATTCTTCGGATAAATCAGATTCCGAGGATTCTGAAGAGTCTGATTTTCCTGCTCGCGGTGGCAGCAGCCCTGAGCGCGAGATGACACGTCAGCAGGGGACATGTGGCAACCAGCAGTGGACAGGTGGCGCAGTGCGATTGCACGCGCGTGTGGCAGCGGGGTTGGTGGCAGCGAATCAGGTGGAGAGGGGAGTGCAGCTGATTGGCCAGATGCCCCGAGTGCATACACAGGTGACTAATTCAAACACGATGCAGCATGGGGTGTATCAGCAGGCTACTGATTCAGGCACAAAGGACAAAAGGAGCACAGCACTCACAGCAGAAGTTCCAGCAGGGCAGTCAGTTTCGCCTGGCTGCGTCACACGGCCACTGGCCTCCGCATCTCTTCCCATTCTGGGCAGCCTTCCCGTGCCCCTGTCGCCTTTTGAGGCGCCTCAAAAAACAGTTTCGCCTGGCTGCGTCACACGGCCACCGGCCTCCGTATCGCTCCCCATACTGGGTAGACTTCCCTTGCTCCTATCCCCTGCACCGCCACTCTGGAACGCTCTCGTGTCACAGCAGTTCATCCCATCAAACCAGCTGACAGCGGCAGAATGCCCAGCCGCACCAGAGCAACAGGCAGCAGCAGAGGAACCAGCGACGTAGCAGAGCAACGCCTCTCACCCACCAGCATCTCTTCTCATTCCTCTCACCCCGCCCACACAATCACCGCTCCCGCTCGACCCCTCTCCTATGCATCGGGCTGTGCACTGACACAGGGGTTTGGCGAGGTGGGAGTGGTGGACGGGGCGGTTGCCATGCTGCTGTGTATGATGGCATGCCCTGTCGTGGCGGGGTGGGATGAACCTACCTCGGGGTGGGATGAACCTACCTCGGGGTGGGATGAACCTACCTCGGGGTGGGATGAACCTACCTCGGGGTGGGATGAACCTACCTCGGGGTGGGATGAACCTACCTCGGGGTGGGATGAACCTACCTGGGGGTGGGATGAACCTACCTCGGGGTGGGATGAACCTACCTCGGGGTGGGATGAACCTACCTGGGGGTGGGATGAACCTTCCTTGGGTTGTGAGAGCAGGATCCCAACCCGGGCTTTAAAGAGGGAGGCACATGCAGTGTTGCTGCTTGCAGCCGCCCTCGCCTGCTGCAGTCGCCCCGACGACGCCCTCGCGCTGCTGCGCTTTGTGCTCCAATCGGGAGCTGCCACGTGGCGGGGTGGGAGGGGCCAGGTGGCAGTGGCGGCGAGGGAGGTGGTAGAGGTGGTGATGGTGGCACTGGCGAGGGAGAAGCGGTGGGGGGAGATGGAGGAGGTTGGAGCGGAGATGGAGGAATTGGTGGGGGAGATGAGCAGTCTGAGAAGACCAACTGCACCAGCAGCGCCAGCAGTAGCACAAGCAGCAGCGCCAACTCCAGCCGCAGAAGAAGCAGCAGAAGCAGGAGCAGGAGCATCACATGCGGCAGCAGCAGCAATATCAGTTGCAGCCAGAGGAGGAGGGGGGGAAAGAGGTGCGGGTGAGTGGAGGAGAAGGGAGCTGCTTCTGCGAGCTTCATGGGAGAGAGGGCAGTGGCAGCAGGTCGCGTCCATGCTCCATCACATGGCTGCTGACGTTTCACCTTCTGCTGAAGTGTCATATACTGCTGACGTGGCACACAGCAATGGATCGATGGCACCAGAGCCAGCTGTGCAATCTCCGCCACCAGCGACCACTGTGAACCTGGCAGCGCGCCTTCTGGGTGCAGCTGTCGTCCCAATGCTGCCTCCAGCTGTCGTCCCACGGTTGGCTGAGGCCCCACGGGTGGCACCACGGGCGGCAGCCTGGGCGACAGCGCAGGCGGCACCACATCTGGAAGCAAGCTCTTCAAGTGCAGAAGCAGAAGGTGGGTGTTTTGCAGGATACAGAATCATCCTCAACCTTCCCCAAAAACGTTTCAAACCACCGCCAGACTTAACCCACCAGCAGCAGCAGTTACCAGCACTCTCTGGTGAGGACAGCCGAGCACTGGTTCGTGCTTTCACGTGTGATGAGACGATTTTTGAGTCGACTCAAAATTCGCCAGGCCTACCCCAGCAGCAGCATCAGCAGTTACAAGCACTCTCTGGTGAGGACAGCCGAGCACTGGTTTGTGCTTTCACCGCCCTGCTCCAGTGCTATATGGCCGCGGTTACCAGCAGTAGCAGCTGCAGCAGCAGCAGGGGTGCTCGTGTTGGTGGCAATAACTGCGTTGCTGCGGACACCACCAGCAATTCAACGAGTGATGGTAGCAGAAATGGTGTGAGTGCAACTGGCAGTGTTGAATTGCAGCTTGATCTGCATGGGTTGCACTCTGAAGCCGCTGCTGTGGTGCTGCTGACCTGGCTCATCACGAGCCAGTGGAAGGGAACTGCGCATGAGACAGTGGGAGGGGATAGAAGCCGTGATTTGGGGGCAGCAGGGAGTGGCATTGGCCCGACGGGCTTAGATTGGGTCCGTGGGGGTGCACGAGATGAGGGGAATGGGGGGTGGAGACTGGAATGGAATCAAGGAGATGGTAGTATGAGCGCGCAGAATTTGTCAGGTAGAGTTTCCATTGTGACTGGATGGGGGAAGCATAGTCGGAAGCAAGGAGCTTCGGCGGTGAGGAGTCAGGTGGAACAGTTGTTGGTTGACATGAATTCTCCTTTTAGGGTAGACAGAGGCAATAAAGGTCAGCTGGTTGCGAGGTTCAGTTCTTTCACAAATTGGATGAATGCTCATATGGTTTTGCCATGTAAGTTTGAAGAATAGATTTCAGTCCACATCCTGTCTTCCATTGCCTTGCAAGTGAATAACGGTTCCTTTAATACGCAATAACGTCCACTTGCATCGCGGGACAGCGTATTGACACGTCATTTTGAGGAGATTCAACGTGGCAACGGGTGGAAAGTGGACCTGGCCGTTGGTTTTTGTGCGACAATGCTGCAAGGGAAGGACGGTTTCAATTTTCCAACGATCTTTTTGGTGCCTCTCAATCATGAGAACAGTGGAACCGGGTCCCTTGCAGGGATTTCACAAATTGTCATGTCGTCTTACAGTCGGTGCTTAGGGATTGTACGGTCTTTGCGCCTCTCAAGCTAACCCGGGTTTACAGCATCTGATGGTCGGGCAGAATTCGAGAAACAGAGTGTACAGTACAAATGCGGATTGCACGTGGATTGATTCGATCCGACAAAACTGTTCACGCTCAAAATCCCTTCTGGTTCCCCGCCCCGACAAGAACGATGCTCCCAGTATCATGACCTTCGGGAAACCCTCCTCCTTCTCTGGAAACAGAATTCCATCGAAGCAGTCCGTTTCGGATTTCGTCGACATCTAACCGTCCGTTGCTAACTGTTTGCAGACTTGTGCTGAAATCTCCGCTGGCGCTGCGGACATTTTTTCTTCCGCACCCCTCTTCTCCTCCCCTCCTCCCCTTCACCTCACTCGTTCCCCTTCCCACACCTTCCCCCCCTTATTATACTCTCTATCTCTCGCGCGCGCGGAGCTGCCATTGAGTTTTTCCGCCCAGGTTTCTCTGCACCGTGCGCACCCTCCGCCCACATTTTCACCTCCCTTCAAGTGCTCCCTGCAAATATCCCCCCCGTCCGTCGTTCTCCCAAGCAACTGGGCAATCCCCTAGGCGAGGCAGAATGCCGCAAATTTCGAGGCGATTGAAACAAAAGCTGGACAAATCTCAAGGCAAGGCAGAACCAAGGTGATCAATAGCTTCTTCCACACGTACCAATTGTGGCTGCTGCTGGACAAAATCGCACGGACGGAGGAGCAGACAGATCGATCGTTCCCTTCTTCTTCTATCTCGCAGTGTCTGTTCAGTGGCCTGAGAGCTCTTCCCAAGGCTGCTCTTGCATCTCTCCAAACCATCCTCATTTGCTTCGTGAATTGTTTACCTTGCTGTCCCGCCTACACCTTGCTGGCGCCCTCGGCGGTTCGCTCGACTTCCGCTAGTGGTGTGCCTTAATTAATTAAATATGTGACAGTCTAGCGGACTCAGGTGCGGCATACGTTCGTCAACTATTATATACTTCGCCTCGATATTGTCGTGAGTCGGGATGCCGTCAAACGGCGGTCCGTGCCTTGTCGACGGCTTCTCCGCGGCCTTCACGCCGTGTGAACTTCCCGACCGAGCCGCGAATCGCTCCCCGTTTCACTTCGTCCCGACTCCCTCTCCCCATCCCAGCCCTCTCTCGGTAGAGCACAAGCCGAACCGCTCGTCATTGTCGCCTGAAAAGACTGGAGCAAGGTCCGCCACGCGAACGACCGCCACGGTGCGAGGGACCGCGCAAGAAATCGCACGCGGAGCCGCCTCGCAATCGGGCACGTGCGCGGAAAACCCCTTGCGCCCTTCCGCAGCGGGAGGAGATTTTGCAACGGCGTCCGCGGCAACGCCGGGAACAAGCGCCATGGCGGAGACGTGCACGCGGAGTGTCCGGGCGAGTTCAGCGCCGATTGCGGAGCTGCTTCATCTCCCGCTGCTGTCGCAGTCGTGGTCGCCGGAGGAAGATCGCGAGCTAGAGCGAGCATTGGCGAGGTTCGCAAAATTCGCTCGCGAAATGCTATCGCGCACACTTTTATGCCCACCAGACACTTTTTTTGTCGCGAAAAGGAGACATTTGGTATCTCAACGCTCCTTTCTGCATATCCTTTCCAACATCTCACGCAGGCCGCTTCTCCCTTGCTCAGCCCCTCCCTCAAGTGCCCCATTCCCAAGTGGTCATTTTGATTTACTCACCCTTCCGCCCGTGGCGTTCCTCTCTGCCTTCCTTTCGATCCACTCCCTACCAAACCAGGCATGCGGATAGCAAGCTGTCTCCGTTTCAGAGGTACCTGCTAGTGGCCGCGTGTCTGCCGAGCAAGACGGCTAGAGACGTGGCGATTCGCTGCAGATGGCGCGACAAGGTATAACCCCAAGATCCGCAATTACGTTTGACTCCTACGAAACACCAAAGCGTTACTACGAACCCCATTCGGTAAAGACGCAACGGCAATTGCAACCGCCTCTGCAACCGCTAAAGCGCGACGCAGAGGCCGCATTGTGCGGCAAAAACAATACAAACCCCTTCGGATAAAGCATTGCATTTGGCCTTAACGGCGACGCGTCCTCGCTGTTCTATCGAGTCACGCGCTGCGAGAGGGATGGTGCATTGCGACCCGACGAACTCACCGGCGAAACCATTTCGAGGCTTAGAAGCCGTTGGACAACGGATGCAGATTAAATTCCCGTCATGCTCGTAGTTCTGCCGTTGACGATTTTAAAGGAGGGGCTACATGCGCGAATCCTTCTTCCTCTTTTCCCTTCCCACATGCGCGCAATGTTCCTTTCCCGTCCCTCGTTTCGCACATCTCCGCCCGCCCCTCCGCGCGCCCCCTCCGCCCGCCCCCTCCCCAGGATCCAGAGCTGCACAAGTGCAAGCTCGGAAGCCAGTTACTCTCCCTCTCTCCTCTCCCCCCCTCCGCGCTTCCCCTACGTGCGCCCCCTCCCCACGTCCCCTCCCCAGGCTCGAGAGCAGCACAAGTGCAAGCTCGGAAGCCAGTTACTCTCCCTCTCTCCTCTCCCCCCCTCCGCGCTTCCCCTACGTGCGCCCCCTCCCCACGTCCCCTCCCCAGGCTTGAGAGCAGCACAAGCGGAAGCTCGGAAGCCAGTTACTCTCCCGCTCACCTTTCCCCCCCTCCGCTCTTCCCCTCCGCCCGCCCCCTCCGCTCCCCCCTCCCCAGGCTCCAGAGCAGCACAAGCGGAAGCTCGGAAGCCCGCAAGACACTTCCCCGCGGAAGAAGGCATCGCGCAGCACAGACGCGCGCGGAGCAGCAGCAGCAGCGGACGCAGCGCATAACGAGGCAGCGCAGGCAGCGCATAACGAGGCAGTCAATGAGGAGGACAGGCTGCTGGCGCAGGGCCTGGGCGAATCGCCGCCAGTGAAAGCAGAGGACGGTGTTGGAGGGAGCGGGGGGGAAGGGGGCGGGTGGGGGGATGGGGGCGCATGGGGGGATGGGGGCGTGAGGGGGGATGGGGACGGGGACGCGGGCGCGAGTGGTGCGCCAGCTAGTGAGTTCTGTGACGCCCTCTCAATGACCCTTGACTGCTTACTAGCCACTAATGCTCCTGCTGCCCCTGCTGCTGCTCCTGCGCCAGTAGCCGTGGCTCCTGCTGCTCCCGGTGGTGCTGCTGCCACTGCTGTTGGTGCTGCTGCTGCTACAGCGGATTTGGCTTCTTTAGAGGGCACGGCCCTTGGAACAGACAACATGAGTGGTGGCGTGAGTGTTGGTGCTGGTTGCGACAAGAGGGATGCTGCTGCTGCTGCTGCTGCTACCGGTGCTGCTGATGCCGCCAATGCCGCAGATGTCACTTTCCTGATTCCGCAGCTGGAACCACAACAGGAACCACAACAGGAGGGGGGGCAGCAGGAGGTGCAGCAGCAGGGCGTGCAGCAGGGGGTGCAGCCGGGGGTGCAGGCACATAAATCAAAGCAGAAATCAAGAGTACGTGGAGCGCTTCACAATAAAGGGGTTAAAGCCCCTTTCCTGTTTGAATCAAAATCATCGCTAGCAGCACGAGGGTCGTTTGAATCACCCGGCTCATCCGTGTCGCCCACATCAGTGCTCACAGCCATGGCATCACCACCAGTAGCCATGCGGCCGTCGTCCCCTTTGTTGTCATCTGTGGTACCGTGGAGTGTGCCGGTGGAGCAGGAGGCACGGCTGGCGCATAGCACTGTGCTCATCGAGAAGATCAAAGAGGCGCTGCGATTGCAAAAGGTGTGAATATTTATCACCCTGTTGTGTGTGTGTGTGTGTGTGTGTGTGTGTGTGTGCGCGCGCGCGCGTGCGTGTGTGTGTTTTTTTTCCTCCCCTGATTTTTCCAGGCTTGCCGCTCTGCCATGCGATGCCTGTCATATACCATGCTTTGCCATAAACATAGCGCTGTCATGCACCATACTATGCTGTATACCATACTACGCTGTGCTGCATGACATGCTTGCATAAAACGGCAGCATAACAACAATAAGGGTTCGTGCTTGTGTGCTGTTGTTTCTTGTGCTCGCAGTTACACGACTCCAGCCACATGCTGCAGCAGCTGAAGCGCAATCTAGTATTGTCAGTGGAAAGGTGAGCCATGCGGCGGGATAAGGAACAGGTGTATTGTCCAGATGTTGCTTGTTCTACTGTTTACCACCAGCTTTTACGAGATTCGTGCGGCAAGAGTTATGATATTTGCCCAATTTTCCCAACCATCCCCATGCCCCTTGCTGTTTCTGTTTACCTGCTTGCAGTTTGCCATCCTTTCCAGGAATAAGCACAAAAATGCCGCCTCTTCCTCTACGACCAAACCTTCAGCTTGCAACTCAGGTCCTCCCAATACGTTGAGCAACGTCTTAAAGCACCACCATTTTTTAGCTGAAAAAGGCAACACGGGCAGCTATGTAGTACGGTGCAATACATATATTATGTACCATTGGTCCGAAATAAGTGAAAAGCAGCATAATGCTGTTTTTTCCGAATGTTTAAAGCCAGTTACTGTCTGCAAAGCGAAAGAAGTTCTACAGAGCATGGGTGACGTGTATAGCCCGGGATCTTGCAACCCTGGATAGCTTCTCTGACGTGGAAAGCTCCAGGTGGACCAGTAGCAGTACAGGACCAAATTCGGGGGCCAATTCCCTCTGCCTGCACTACGACGGACACCTCAAAACGGCGACTCTGCAAAGGGGTTCGATTTGGTGTGCGTACGGCGGAGAACGTCGAAGTGCGGTTTTGTGCGTTCGAGGGTCAACCGCTTTGTCCGAGTTCCTTGTAACCGCTCGTTGCCAAGCAGTTTTGGCTTGGTTTGGAGATGCAAATTGCAGTTGCGAAAACGCGTTTGATATTGGAGAGAGAGAAAGAAGCTGGGAGGAGATGGCGTACTTGGAGGGGCCTAAAAATCACATGAGCAAAGGAGAAATTTCATTCCATAGGGACTGAAGGTCGTAACGAGGGGGCCTGTCTGCGTGCAACCTGCTTCAAGTCAGGGCTGCAATTCTCCTCGAGCCTGCCATTCTCGTCGGGCTTCCAGAAAGTGCACGAATCGCCAAGTCGCGGCTCGTTGGAATCTCGACTCGGGGCTCTAACTACGCTCTGCGCGAATTCGCGAGCATGGCGGCGGCCAGCCGTTCTTCCGCAGGGATCCGCGCTCGGGGGGGGCAGCGGAGAGCCTCACCGCGTGTTGCGGCGGCGCTCAGCTCTGCGCTGTGGCCACGTGTGTCGCTCCGCGTCCGTGTGTCCGTATGGCTGTTCGCGTGGGGGTGCGCGTGCGCGCTGCTGTTTTCCCCCGCTCGGCGCGCAGCGGCGTGGGAGTGCACCAACATCCCATCACAGCCGCACGAGTTTTTTAGCAGGTGTGTTTTGAGGCCGACTCAAAGCGCGCTGATGCTTTCCCCGCTCGGCGCGCAGCGGCGTGGGAGAGCACCAACATCCCATCACAGCCGCGCGAATTCTTCAACAAGTACGAGCGCCGTTACAGGTAGAGACATCTCGCGCTTGCGAAAAACGACAAAGATCTCCACAGGTATCAGGGACGGACGCGTCCTTTCGCAACCCCACGGCTTAGGCCAACGCCTCAGGTATCAGGTATCAACAGATAAGGCATTGTCGCTCGCAACGCGGCAGTTCGTTACAAACAGACCCGGGAAAAGAATTGGCTGATTCTTCCCGGATGCTTGCTTTCCACCTGGCAATGCGCAGCGGCTCCCCAATCCTTCCGCATCCCCTTCTCCCCCGCACTCGATCATGCTCCCCCGTCCTTTCCTCCTCTCCCTCCTCATTCCATTCCCCACCTCTTCCTTTCCCCCCCTGCCTTTTCCCCCAGTCCCTCCGTGCGCGAGCACCTGCGCGTACTGAGCCACCATGCGGACAGCCGCGCAGCCGCTGACGCGCTGGCGGGGAGAACTTCCCGTCCCTCCGCGGACGCTGCAGACACTCCGGGCGCTGCGGACGCGGGGGGAAACGGGGGAAGCGGAAAGCGGCGAGCCATGCGGGAGTGGGTGAGAAAGGGGGGGAGGGCGAGGGCGGGTGGGAGTGAGTGTGTGTGGGCAGGGTTGTGGTTGAATTCTCCCCGGGACCTTGTCCATCCATAGCAGCGTGCAAATTCCAATGCTCCAGCTGGGTGAGGGCGGGTGAGAGAGGAAGGTGCAAATTCCTCCCTTGGAATTTGAGCAAGGGCGGGTGAGCAAGGGCGGGTGAGCAAGGGCACCCCGTCCCCCCATTACCTTTTCCGCCCTTCTCTTTCTCCCCCCCTGGCAGCACCCGCACTTCCTCTCCCCCCTGCCACTCCACGCCGTCCGCCTGTCGCCGGCCACACGTCAGTTTGCCGCCCAGAGCGCCAACCTCGAGTACCTCCTGACGCTCGATGCCGACCGCCTGCTGTGGTCGTTCCGGCGGACGGCAGGGGAGGAGGAACCAATAGGGAAGCCGTATGGGGGATGGGAGAACCCCAACAGTGAACTGAGGGGGCACTTCGTGGGTGAGTGGGAGAGTGAGAGAGGAGTGGGTAAGTGAGGGGGTCAGGGAGTGGGGAAGTGAGGGAGTGACGGAGTGGGGGAATGAGGGTGAGGGGGGGGTAAGAGACCTTGCTCTCCCTTGTCGTTTCCTTCTCATGAAATCTTAACGTTTTCTCTTCCCCCTGACCATCCAGGCCACTACCTGAGTGCATGAGCCCTGGCGTGGGCATGAACGGGCGACACAACACAACCCTCAAGACGCGCATGGACTATGTGGGTGGTGGGGGAGTGTTGAGTCAACCCAATGCAGGCCATGCAATGTTCTCCCTTCCAATGTTCTTCTCGTCCCATTTCACCATGCAGGCCACTACCTGAGCGCGTCAGCCTTGGCGTGGTCAGCAACACGCGTAACACAGCCTTCAAGCCACGTGTAAAAATTGAGTTTTTGAGACGTCTCAAAAACTCACTTTTTACACCTGAGCGCGTCAGCCTTGGCGTGGGCAGCAACACGGGCAACACAACCCTCAAGACGCGCATGGGCGCATGGAGTATGTGGTTGGTGGGGCAACTGCACACATGCCAGCAGATCGCAGGGAATGAAATGAACCGGACTGCACCCCTTTGTTGTCTCCCTCCACTCCTCCTATCACTTCCCGCGTAACCATCCAGGCCACTACCTGAGTGCATCGGCCCTGGCGTGGGCATCCACAGGCAACGCAACCCTTAAAGCCCGCATGGAGTATCTGGTGGGCGAGCTGGACACGTGTCAGCAGCGCATTGGCTCGGGGTACCTCTCTGCGTTCCCTGAGGAGTTCTTCGACCGAGTAGAGGCCATCAAGCCCGTGTGGGCTCCGTACTACACCGTGCATAAGGTATTATGAGAAGAGAAGAAGAGGAGGGGAAGGGGAGAGGTAGGCTCGGGGTGCCTCTCTGCTCTGCGTTCCCCGCGGAGTTCTTTGACCGCGTAGAGACCATCAAGCCCGTGTGGGCTCCCTACTATACCGTGCATAAGGTAAGAGGGAGAAGGGGAAGAGGGGAAACCAAAAGGGGGAAAGGGGAGAGGTAGGCTCGGGGTGCCTCTCTGCTCTGCGTTCTCCGCGGAGTTCTTTGACTGCGTAGAGACCATCAAGCCCGTGTGGGCTCCCTACTATACCGTGCATAAGGTAAGAGGGAGAAGGGGAAGAGGGGAAACCAAAAGGGGGAAAGGGGAGAGGTAGGCTCGGGGTGCCTCTCTGCTCTGCGTTCCCCGCGGAGTTCTTTGACCGCGTAGAGACCATCAAGCCCGTGTGGGCTCCCTACTATACCGTGCATAAGGTAAGAGGGAGAAGGGGGAGAGGGGAAACCAAAAGGGGGAAAGGGGAGAGGTAGGCTCGGGGTGCCTCTCTGCTCTGCGTTCCCCGCGGAGTTCTTTGACCGCGTAGAGACCATCAAGCCCGTGTGGGCTCCCTACTATACCGTGCATAAGGTAAGAGGGAGAAGGGGAAGAGGGGAAACCAAAAGGGGGAAAGGGGAGAGGTAGGCTCGAGGTACCTCTCCGAGTTCCCCGAGGAGTTCTTTGACCGCGTGGAGGCCATCAAGCCCGTGTGGGCGCCCTACTACACCGTGCATAAGGTATTATGAGAAGAGGAGGGGAGGAGGCCAAGGCGAGAGGCAGGCTCGGGGTACCTCTCAGCGTTCCTCGAGCCTGGTTTCTTCGATCGCATGGAGGCCAGCAAGCCCGTGTGGGCTCCCTACTACACCGTTCACAAGGTGGGGAGGGGCAGGGGGAGGGGAAGGGAGACGAAGGTGGAGGGGAAGAGAGGAAACAAAGGGGGGGGGGGGGGAAAGGGGAGAGGTAGGCTCGAGGTACCTCTCCGAGTTCTCCGAGGAGTTCTTTGACCGCGTGGAGGCCATCAAGCTCGTGCTATACCGTGCATAAGTTGGGGAAGGGAGAAGAAAAAGTGGGAGATCAGGCCGAAGAGATGGCATGGGAGGGAGGGTAGGAGTGAGGGAGAGGAAATGTTTGTTTGACTGCGTGGACACACCATGTGGTGTAACAACTGTCAGTAGCAGACAGGTGGGCTGCTACACCACACCATGCCATGTGGAGGCCTTTCTTCCATCAACCACGCCATGTGGTGTAGCAAGGCGCCCACAAGCCATCAAGCCCGTGTCGCCATGTGGGCGCCCTGTGACACCACAAGGTGCGTCTATAAGGTCTGAAAAAGGGAGGGAGTCTGAACGGAGATGGTGGAGAAGCGGCGGTAGGGGCGGCCAGGAGGAGTGGTGAGAGTGGGGAGATGAGAGAGTTAGAGACCCACCTCGCTGTTGCCCACCAATTGGTACCAATCGGTACTAATTGGTACCCATTGGTAGGCCAACCAACCTGTTGCTCTGACTCGCTCCCACTGCCTCTCACTCCTCTGCTCGTTCTCTCCCCAGCCCACTCCTCCTCCTTCTCCCCCCTCAGATCATGGTGGGCCACATGATTATGGCTGGTCGTAACCAGTACCACCAACTGCGTGTCCCCCTCGTCGTCTCACTCATGTGCTCTCTCTCCCCCCAAACCACGTCTCCATCCCTTCTCCCTCTCCCACCTTGTCTCTCCCCTCCTCCCCCGGCAGATCATGCCGGGTCTACTGGACCAGCACCAGTTGGGCGACAGCTGGGCGGCAGGTGGGTGGCACCAGCCTGTCGCACGGGTGGCTGCTGCTGTCCAACACCAGGACCTAGGACTCGCAGCACGGACATGCATTCTCCTCCTCTTACTCCGTTGCCCTCTCCTCCCCACAGATCATGGCCGGCCTATTGAACCAGTACCAGCTGGGCGGCAGCCACTCTGTCACACCGACTTGTTCTGCCCTCCTCTTCCACTCCCCTAACCTCTCTCCCCAACCTCCTCCTCTCTTAATCTCTCCCCCTCCCTCCACAGATCATTGCAAGCCTGCTACGTCAGTACCAGCTGGCCTCACCAGAATGGGCAGTTTCACTAAATCGCTTCTTCCCCCTCGTCTCTTCTTCCCCCCTCCTCTCCCCCCTCCCCCCTCTACAGATCATGGCTGGTCTGCTGGACCAGTACCAGCTGGGCGGCAGCCGGGCGGCGCTGCGCATGCTGACGTGGATGGCGGAGTACTTCCGGGGGCGCGTGCAGCGAGTGATCGAGCGCCACACGGTGGCGCGCCATTGGCTGTCGCTCAACGAGGAGTTTGGCGGCATGAACGACCTGCTGTACCGCCTCTATGCCATCACTGTGAGTGTTGTGTGCGATGGTGACTCTATGCACTCACTGTAAGGGGTGTCATCGGGCGCCACAAGGTGGCACGCCATTGGCCATTGGCTCTCGTTTCCTCCCAGCGCGCGCGCCACCCCCATCACCAGCGCGTGCGCCACCCCCATCACCTAGAGTTGGCCCACCTCTTGGACAAGTCGTGCCACGCCAACACGCGCATCCCTCTCCCCACTTCCAACCCCTTCTCAAACCCTCCCAGCGTGACCCGAGCCACTTGGAGCTAGCCCACCTCTTCGACAAGCCGTGTTTCCTGGGTCCCTCGGAGGTGGGCGCGGACGACCTGCCAGGGCTGCTCCCCACCTGGCACCCCTCTCCCTACCCCCAACCCCCTCACCCCCTCCTCCCAGCGCGGCCCCCACCACCTGGAGTTGGCCCACCTGTTTGACAAGCCGTGCTTCCTGGGGCCCCACGCGGTGGGCTGCTGCACGCCACTTAGCCCCTTCACCCCACTCACAACCCCCTTCGCCCCCTCTTCTTCCCGCCCTCCCCAAGAAAAACCCCAACCACTTAGAGTTTGCGCATCTGTTTGACAAACCCTGTTTCCTGGGGCCGTTGGTGGTGGAAGCGGACGATCTGCCAGGGCTGCTCCGCTTTCCCTCAACCACCCCTACCCTCCCCTCTTGCCCCAACTCCCAATCCCCACTACCCCAGCGCGACCCCAAGCACCTAGAGCTGGCGCACCTATTCGACAAGCCGTGTTTCCTGGGTCCACTAGCGGTGGGAGCGGACGACCTGCCAGGGCTGCACGCCAACACACACATCCCCATCGCCATCGGCGCTCAGATGCGCTACGAGGCCACTGGAGACAGCTTATACCGAGTATGGACCTGTTGTAACAGATTTTACCAGGCATAAAACGAACCTCTTTTAACAGCTTATAAGGAGTATGGATCCAATTGAACCCCAACCCTCCAGCACCTCTCGCACCACTTCCTTTCTCTCGTCAACACCTCTCACTCCTTCACCTCTGGAGGCCTTTTGAGGTGCCTCAACATCCCCTTCCCCCCTCCCTTCCCACTCTATCCCACCACTCCCCACCCGTCACCAGCACCTCTCACACCATTTCCTCTCCCTCGTCAACACCTCCCACTCCTTCACCTCTGGAGGCACCTCGGCCTTCGAGTTCTGGTGAGTGCAGTGCAGTTACCTGGGGTTTGCTGGGTTGCAGCAGTCTTGTGAGGTCTGGTGTGTGGTTTGGTGGGGTGTGACGGGGTGTGGTGAGGTCTGATGTAATCTGTTGAGTCGCACCTGATGGGCCTGGTGAGTCCGCACATCACTTCCTCTCCCTGGTCAACACCTCCCACTCCTTCACCTCTGGAGGCACCTCCGCCTTCGAGTCCATTGCAGTCTGGTGTGGTCTGGTGCGGTCTGGTCCTGTCTGCAGGGGTCTGATGAGTTGTGGTGAGTGAGTCTACTGTTGGTATTCTCTTCCATGCCTTTCTTTCTTTCCCCCTCTCCCACCTCCGCCTTCTCTCTCCCCGCACCCCCTTATCTTTGTGTTTGTGTTTGTGTTTGTGTTTGTGTTTTTGTTTTTGTTACTGTTTTTTTTGTTTTTTTTGTTTTTTTTGTTTTTTTTTTTTGTTTTTTTTTTTTTTTGTGTATTGTGTTTGTACTTGTATTTGTGTTTGTGTTTGTGTTTGTATTTGTTTGTGTTTGTATTTGTGTTTGTATCTGTGTTTGCATCTGCATTTGTATTTGTATTTGTATTTGTATTTGTATTTGCATTTGTATTTGTATTTTGTTTCTCTCGTGGTGAGCACATAGACCGTAAGATGCAATTTGACCTCCTGTGGCACCCTTAATTTAACTCTTACTCTGTCATGAGCAGGCAAGAGCCGCATCGGAGTGGGCACATATTGGCACAGGAGGACCAGGAATCATGCACCACATATAATATGCTGAAGGCAAGTCAACGCAGGTCAACGCAGGTCAATATAGATCAAACGGAGGTCAATGCAAGTCAACTCAAGTCATTGCGGGTCAATGGTTTGCGATTTGGTTGTGCCATAAACACTGGCACAGGAGGACCAGGAGCCGTGCACCACATACAACATGCTCAAGGCGAGTCAACGCAGGTCAATACAGGTCAATGAGCTTCATTTACTCCTACAAGCAAGCTATCAACTAGCCCAGCCCTGTGCGCTATCCGCACTGCCTGCCACTTGCTCTCACCTCATGTACGCACGCCTGCCCTCTCCCCTCCCCCTCTCTCCCTCCCCCACATGGTGCAGATGGCCCGCAATTCTTGAGTCGACTCAAAAAGTCCGTGTGTGATGAGCTGATTTTTTAGTCGACTCCAAAATTGCGCGCCTGCCCTCTCCCCTCCCCCTCTCTCCCTCCCCCACATGGTGCAGATGGCCCGCAATTCTTTCCGCTGGACGCGTTCAGTGCGCTTCATAGATTATTACGAGCGAGCCATGATGAATGGGGTGATGGGCATTCAGCGCGGCACACAGCCCGGTGAGTGTGAGAGAGAGGCCATAGGGCACGTTTTTTAGGCGCCTCAAAAGTGCGAGATAGGGAGGCCATAGGGCACACATAGGGCACCGTGAGCAGGCGATGCTGTGAGCTCCCTCACCTCCCTCGCCTCGCTCTCCTCCCTCACCTCATTCTGAGCTTCATGGATTAACACGAGCGAGCCTTGATGAACGGAGTCATGGCCATTCAGCGCGGCACACAGCCTGGTGAGAAGGAGATGCTTGTCTTAGTACTAGGGTAGGGTGCTGGAGTGAGTGTGTCATGATGTGAGTGTGTGATGTGAGTGTGTGATGTGAGTGCACTCACCTCGCCTCATGGACCACTTTGAGTGGGTCATCAAGAATGGGGTTATGGGCATTGAAAGCAGCACACAACCCTGTTCCCCCCCACCTCCGCCTCTTTCCCAACTCCTCCAGGAGTGATGATATACATGCTACCACACGGGCCAGGTAACAGCAAGGCTCGCGGTTACCATGGCTGGGGCACACCTTTCGACTCCTTCTGGTGCTGCTACGGCACGGGTGAGAGGGGCTACCCTGGAGCCTTCTTGGGCTTTAAGGATTGTGGTGGGTTGGGGTGGGGTGGGGTGGGTGTGGTTGTGGGTGTGGTGCGTTTGGGTGCGGTGTGGTGCCTGTATGGATGGTTTGCGTTGGACTCACTATTGAGGTACTTCTTGACTTCTTAAAAGTGACTCCCAACATAGGTAGGGTTGCGTAAGAGAGTTGATTCATGTGCGATTCATTTATCTGATATGTGTGCTCTCTTCTCTCTTCCTGCCTCGCACACACGCAGGCATCGAGTCCTTTGCAAAACTTGGAGACTCGATTTACTTTGAGTCACCAGTCAAGAGCGGCCGGCAGAATAGCACCGACGGGCGGCGCTTCTTGTCTGCTTCTGACACTTCAACATCCTCCTCCTTGCCTCGCCTGTACGTGGCCCAGTTCGTCTCCAGCGTGCTGACGTGGCAGTCCGCACAGCTGGCGCTCCAGATGACTGCCACGTGGCCCTCCTCCATTCGGCCAATTCTGGAGGTCCAGCTGGCAGTGATTCCTTGGAATGGGGGGAACGAGGAGGGTGGTCAAACTGCAACAAGGAGAGCAGAGGGAGCAGAAGCAGAAGAGGCGGCATCAGGGGGAGGGGAGGGAGAGAATGGACAGGCAGAGGGGGAAGGGGTAGAGGAAGCAGAAGGAGTGGCGGCAGCAGCAGGCAGTGTGGTAGCAATCGGTGCAGCGGAAGGCAGTGCGGTAGCAGACGGTGCAGCAGCAGAGGTGTATCTCCGCATCCCCTCCTGGGCTGCTGCTGTTACCTCTGCTTCTGGTTCCGCCCCACACTGCACTGCCAGTCTCAATGGCGCCAGGCTGCCATGCCCCAAGCCAGGTACCATTGAAGCCAGATACCCTCATTCAACCACCATGCATCGTTCCCCTCCAAGCTGCTGCCGCCGCCCTTCCGCCCTACCCCCTGTATTGCCACCACCCACCACTCGTTCCCTTCCTCCCCTCCTTTGTGCTTTGCCATCACCCGCGAATAGGCAGAAGAACCGGCAATAATTAATTTAGGACGGTGGGCTTTTGCTAAAGCTTCAACTTGCGCGTAGCCAATCAGCTCCTCGGAATAAACTCCATATTGCACTGCACTCCATTTTAACTCCATAAAAATTTCCATACGTTTTTACTTTCGCACCATGGGTTAAATATCCACCTGCAACCAGATCCATCCCCAATAAGGTCTCACCTGGTCGCAGTAAAGCCATGTAAGCTGCAGCATCAGCCTGGGAGCCAGAATGCGGCTGTACAAACCGGCTTCAATTAATCTCTTGGCTCGATCAATAGCTAGCTGTTCAGCCATTCCACCGTCCCTCCACCTCTGTTGTTTCTACTGCCACCCTCCTAGCCCGCCCTTTTGAGACGTCTCAAAAGCTGTTCAGCCATTCCACCTTCCCTTCTTCCACCTCTGCTGTTTCTACTGCCACCCTCCTAGCCCGCCCTGCCTGTGCCGTCACTTGCTCTCTGCTGTTTCTTATGTAACCCAACTCTTCTGCAATTCTGCAATCCCTGTCCGTTCCAGGAAAGTTTCTGCGAGTGCGGAGGGAGTGGAGGGAGGGTGACGTCATCTCTCTCAACATCTCCTTCACGCTGCGTGCGGAGCGCATTCAAGGTGAGACTCAACCATTCAAGTGTGAACCATCTTGAACATTTAGGCGTTATCTCCCTCACACTGCAAATGGAGCGCACTCAAATAAGATTCAAGTGTGAAGCTCTTGAACATCCGCACTATCGCCCGTACCGTCCCGTTCACCCTGCGGACAAAATGCAACGCACTTGAAGCAGGGTTCCAAGTGTGGACATCTTGAACATAAACACACCCCCTCCCTCACACGCGTCGCCTCACTCCCTCCCCTTCAACCTTCAACCTTCATTCACTGACCAGCAGATGGCAATCGCCACACCATCTCACTCACTCGCCCCTGCTCCCCTCCCCTGTTGTCGGCCCCTTCACCTTTTCCTCTCCCATGCCACAGACGACCGTCCCCAGTATGCTTCGCGCCACTCCATCTCTTGATCGGCTTAACAAGCGGCTTAACGGACGTCAAGAGATGGGGCTTGATCACCAAGCCCCATCCACCCCTCCCATTCTCGTTTTGAGACGTCTCAAAACTACACTCCATCTCCTTTAGTATACATCTCTTAATCGGCTCAACGGACGGCGATCACCGAGCCCCATCCACCCTCCCCTTCTCGCCTCCCCTGTTTTCCCTCCCTCCTGCCTTTCTCCTTTTCCTCACCACAGACGATCTTCCCCAGTACGCCTCACTCCACTATATCCTCTTCGGCCCGCATCTCTTGGTCGGCCTAACGGACGGCGATCGCGAACTCATCTCGGGCTTTCCTGATCCCACCCTCCTGTCTACCCCATTCCTGTTGCTTCCATGCCACAGACGACCGTCCCCAGTACGCTTCGCTCCACTTCATCCTCCTCAGCGTGCATCTCCTGGTCGGCCTAGCCTAACAGACGGCGATCGCCAGCCCTGTATTCACCTTACTCGCCCTTCCACCCCTCTTTCTCCCATGGCACAGACGATTGTCCCCAATATGCCTCCACTCCATTCTCTTCGGTCCGCATCTCCAGGTCAGCCTAACAGACAGCGATCGCTAGCCCTGTATTCACCTTACTCGCCCTTCCACCCCTCCCCCCACAGACGACCGTCCCCAGTACGCCTCACTCCACTCCATTCTCTTCGGTCCGCATCTCCTAGTCGGCTTAACGGACGGCGATCGCGAACTCATCCCGGGCTTCGACCCGTCACACCCTGCCACGTGGATCCGGCCTGTGGACCCTGAGGTGCTCAACCAGCAGCTGATCTCCCTGTCTCTCTTCACTCCGCCACGTCAGCTGCCACGTCAGCAGGAGCGGGATGTCGACGATAATGGCGGTGGCAGTGATGAGAGCGCTGATCAGTACGTTGTCTGGCGTCGAAGTGATGAGAAACAGCCAATGGCAGGTGGTACACGTGGCAGTCCGTTATTGGCTGGGCTGACACGTGGCACGCCAGGAGAGGACACTGAGGAGGCCATGTCAGCAACGTTGAGATTGAGAGGGCCGGTGGAAAAGAAGGGAAGGGACATTGGTTTGATTGGGAAGGGAAGAGGGGAGGAGGAAGAGGCAGGCAATGGAGAGCAGGGAGAGCGGTGGGAGCAAGGAGAGAAGGAGGATGAGGAGTGGCGGTGGGACAGCGGCGGTGTGGCTGCTCTGATTGGCCGGGAGATCTCTCTCGAGCCGCTGGAGATTCCTGGAAGCTTCCTGGCCGTGGACTGGTGCAGTGGGGGCAGTGCGGGGCGCACAGAGGGGGAGGGGGAGGTGGGTGAGGGAGCAGCAGCAGCAGCGTCAGGGTCAGGTGGAGAGACGCGGAGGGTGGTGTGGCAGACGAGGAGTGAGATGGACGCGTGCCGGACTGACATGCTGCAGGGAGGCAAGGCTGAGACGACTGGAGTGATCGATGCATGCCAGGCTGGGCGGGCTTCTGTCTTCCGACTCGTTGCCATGGAGGAGGAGGGCAGCAGTGAAGGGTTGCAGCTGGAAGGGCCGAGACTGGAAGGGGTGAGGCTGGAAATGGCAGATTGCCCCGAGTGGGTCGTTTCTATGGACACTAGCAGCAGCCTTGGCAGTGGCAGCACGGCAGCCAGTCTGGTGGTTCAACTCGCAGGAAAACCATCCATTTCCTTGGCCCCTCCTCTCCCGCGTTCGTCTCCCGCGGTGCTCTTCTCGATCCATGAGGGCCTGGCCACAGGCAGTGCCATGAGCTTCATTGCGAGGGGAGCCTCTCGGGATTTCCTGCTGCAGCCCATCTCAGAGCTCAGAGACGAGCGCTACACCTCCTACTTCAATGTCACTGCTGCTCCTCCACCTGCCCCGCCCTCGCCTCCCCCCTCTCCCCCTCCTTCGCCTCCTCCTCCCTCACCACCCTCTCCTGCTCCATCTCCCTCATACTGAGGCCACTTCTCCTTCATTGCAAGGGGAGCCTCACGGGACTTCCTGCTGCAGCCCATCTCAGTTGAGAGACGAGCGCTACACCTCCTACTTCAATGTCACTGCCGCTCCTCCACCCACTCCGCCCTCTCCCCCTCCCTCCCCTCCCTCTCCTGCTCCGGCCCCCTCGTACTGAAAGTAGTGCTGTCCCATTGCAGAGGGGGCCTCTCGGGATTTCCTGCTGCAGCCCATCTCAGAGCTCAGAGATGAGCGCTACTCCTCCTACTTCAATGTCACCGCTGCCCCGCCACCTGCCCCGCCTTCTCCCCCTCCCTCTCCCCCTCCCTTTCCCCCAGCTCCATCCCCCTCGAACTGAAGGCGCCACTATGGCATCAGCAGGCTCTGCTGTAACTGCAGAGTGCAGACCAACAGCAGCCAGAGCACTTTGTACGCGTAGGTAGCACCAATCAGTTTTTCAAGGCGACTTCTAAGTTTGTTCGTACCATGTCGAACCAAACAGCCTTTCACTTGTCCCTCTCGGCTATCCCGCTTATTGGTCTTCTGGCTGTGTTTGTGCAAGTGATTTCTGTACCAATACGGCATGTGCTGTGCTCCGTTCTAAAACTCATGAAGTGATTTGTGTTTAGAAAAACAGTTTAGATGGTTACATTTGTATGTTAGTACCAATGCACAAATGCTATTTCTAGGCAATCATCATCTTTCTTGTTTCGATTAAGAGCTGTTTGCACTAAACACTGCAGGAAGAAAGCCTTTCATATAGCCCCTATACTATACTACAACATGAAGCTGAGTCTTCAAACCACTTATTCCATTGAGAGTCTGTCAGATCGGTTGGTCAATTTGCAGTGAGTTTCTTTGTAGCGAGTCACTTTGTAGTGAGGAATGACTGGATGCGTTGAAGCAGCTCTGCCTTCACTGGACCTGGCACAGATGCTGATGGGGAGAAGCACATGGGACACGCGACAAGCAAGCAAAGGGGAGCAGCACATACGGCTTACAGGTGGTTGCAGGGAGTAAGTTCCCTTGTAAGAAATCATTTGCAAACTTGTTAAAAAATTCAGTAAGAATTTAACTGAGCTTGGAAACCAGTCACACGCCCCTGCCCTCCACACATATCTACCCTCCACATCCCTCCTCCTCTCCACGCACCTCGACCCTTGGGTGTGATGACCCGTATGAGCTCCTCCAATGAGACGTTCTCACGCCCCACCTTGCTCACATATGCTCTGATGGACGGACGGACCACGAGACAAGAGAGGGAGAGAGAGAGGGTAAGGGTCTGTGCGGAGGCATGCATGCGTGCAGGTCACTGCACTGAATTGCACCATCCACATGCCACACGGAAAAGCACAAATAACCGGCATAGAGGAAAAACATATTGGTAATAGCCACCTGCAGATAACGTCTGCACATGAATGAATCAACCAAGCCAAACACCCACCCGGCTAAACACCCGCCCGGCTAAACACCCACCCGGCTAAACACCCACCCGGCTAAACACCCGCCCGGCTAAACACCCACCCGGCTAAACACCCACCCGGCTAAACACCCACCCGGCTAAACACCCACCCGGCTAAACACCCACCCGGCTAAACACCCACCAGGCACACCACCCTGGCCATCACCCACCCATCCACTAACTTACCTGGCGTAGACCAGAAGGTCGTCCGTCCACCCACACTCCTCCAGTCTGCCCCTCAGTAGTGCCTTGAGCTGGGCATAGCACCCTCGCACCCTGCCCACCACCCACCCACCGGGCCACCCACCCACCTGGCATAGACCAGAAGGTCATCCGTCCACCCACACTCCTCCAGCCTGTCCTGCAACAACGCCTTTAGCAACGCCAGCACCCACCCGGTACAGCATCCACCCACCCACCCAGCAGGCCACTCACCTGGCGTAGACCAGAAGGTCATCCGTCCACCCACACTCCTCCAGCCTGTCCCTCAACAACGTCTTTAATCGCTCCTTCTCCCCACTCTCCAACAGCTGCGTGGGGAGGTAAGGGAGGACGAAGGCATGCATGAGGGAAGGAGGAGGGAGCGAGAAGGGAGGGATCGAGAAGGGAGCGAAAGAGAGGAAGGTCGTCTGTCCACCCGCACTCTTCCAGCCTGTCTCTCAGCAGCGCCTTGAGACGCTCTCTCTCCAATAGCTGTGTGGGGCGGTGAGAGAGAAGGGAGACATAAGGGAGGAAAGGAGGGAGGCATAAGCAAGGGCGGAAGGAGGAAGACGGAGGGAGGGATAAGGAGAAGGTAAGGAAGGGAGGCCATCAGACCACCCGCACTCCTTCAGCCTGCTTCTGAGACGTCTCAAACACACTTTACTATCAGAAGGTAAGGAAGGGAGGCCATCAGACCACCCGCACTCTTCCATTCTGTTGGTCTCTCGGCAACGCTTTTAGCCGCTCCTTCTCCCCACTCTCCAACAGCTGTGTGAGGCGAAGAGGGGAGGGAGGAGGGACGGATGAGAGCGAAATAGAAAGGGGGTTTGTCAGTCGTCGGACTCTCTTTGTGACTCAATAACGAGGTTTCAACACACAGCCTGCTGCAGTCACACACCCCTCTGGAGTCGCACACCTCGCTAAAGTCCCACACCTCACACAGTCACACACCGTACCTTAGCGTCCACCACTTGTCGCAGCGACGTGGGCTCCCCTCCTCCCCCCACCCGCCCCTCAGGCTCCGGTGTTGGCGGGCGGTTTACAGACGACCGCCTGGCGTGGAGCGGACAGGGAGGTAGGGCAGGTGAGCTTAGAGGGGGGTGAGGGATACGGGGGGGGAGGGTGGTGTTGGCGGGCGGTTCACAGACGACCGCCTGCAGTGGGGGAGATGGGGGGAAGGGCAGGTGTGGGGGAGATGGGGGGGAGGGCAGGTGTGGGGGAGATGGGGGGGAGGGCAGGTGTGCGGGAGATGGGGGGTAGGGCAGGTGTGCGGGAGATGGGGGGTACGGCAGGTGTGGGGAAGAAGGACGAGAGGTTAGGGCAGGTGCGTTGGGAAGGAGAAGGGTGGGGAGCGGGAGGATCCGGCGTGGGCGGGCGGATCATTGACGGCCGCCTGCATTGGGGGTGGAGGGCACATGCGGGGGAGGTTGGGGGGGTGTCAAGGCGGGCGGTTCAGTGACGAGGGGGGCGGCTAGAGTAGGGGGGGTTTCAGGTGAAACGTGTGGGGATGGGGGGAGGGGGGTTGGGGGAAAGGATGGGGGGAAGCGCTGGCGGTGTGGTTCACTGTAGACTAGCGGGAGTAGCGGGGTTAGGGGAAGAATGGTGCGAAGCGCGGAGCGGCAAGAGAGAAGGGGACTGGGGAAGGGAGAAGGAGGGAGGGGAGGGGTTGGGGGGAAAGATGGGGGATGTTGGCGGGTGGGAGGTTCGCAGGTGACCGGCTGGTGCGGGGTAAGAGGAGGTGGATGCCTGGGAAGGAGATTAAGGACGGGAAATTGAGAGATGGAGTCCTTAGCGTTTGACGCGGGGGAGACAAGAGGCTCGGACAGGCAGCGAGAGTGGAGGCGATTCTGAGGTGACAAAAAAAGAGCGAGAGTCTCGGCGGCGGTGACGGTAGGCGAGGCGACGACGGGAAGGCAGACGGAGACTGAGGGTTCACTCACGACGCCATGCGGCGGTGTGAACTAGGCTGCAGCTGCGACGCGCACGGTTCCACGAAGCTGTGGCGCGAGGTGTTGACGATTCAGAAAAAAATGATGCTGGAAAACTGAATGACGAGGAGTCGCGCGCGGAGAACAGAGAAGTAAAAAATTAGGACAGCTGTTGATCAAAATTAAAAAGACCGACTGCGCATCCGGGGAATCGAACCCCGGTCAGTACCGTGGGAGGGTACAATGATACCACTACACTAGATGCGCACGGTGTTCTGATAGCCTGCACGTAAATTGAACATCTTGGTGTCCGCCAACTGAACTGTCGTAGATTGAACGCCTTGGCGTCCGCCATTACTGGCAGGATGGAGATCATTTATCGCTGTCCCGACGAAGCGGGCGTGACGGTCCCGAACGGCGTGCTTCTCCCGGAGTTCGCGCTCCAGAACGCGTCGCGATGGGCCAACAGACGCGCGTTCGTCGACGGAGTCACGGGCCGCGCGCTCACGTTCGCTCAGGTGACTCTCCCGCCCTGAGTAAATTTCGTCGGCACTCCCAAGGTGAATCCACGCATAGAAGACACTCGATAGGTGAATTCGCGTGTGCTCAGCTGACAGTCCCCAGGTGACTTCACTCGAGAATCCCTCACTGCATTTACGTCCGCACAGATGATGTATGCAATGATGTGCGCTCAGGTGCCACTCCCTAGTTTCATCCACGCAATGTCAGGCAAATTATGTTCAGAAGACGAGTAATTAGATGGCTTCATGCTCAGAAGACTGCAGGTAAATTCACCTAGCAGGTGCATTCAGGCGACAATCCCTGGGTGAATTCAGTCACATATCTCGGTGCATTTACGTCAGCGCGGATGATGCATCTAATGGTGTGCGCTCAGGTGCCACTCCCTAGTTTCATCTACGCAATGTCACATGCTAAGATGACGTGTGTTCAGATGACTCCCTAGGTGAATCCAGCCGACACTCCCTAGGTGCGCTCAGGCGACACTTTGAATCGTCAATCACCGGATGAGCATGCAAGCAGATTACGAGTGGTTACTTTCTGGAGCAGCAACACCAGCATCAAACGGACTGGCACGCAACCAAGGCGTATGTGTGCTGTGTGCGTGCAGCGTGTATGTGAAATGAAACAGGTCGTGTACAGCGTGGCGTGGCTACTCGTTGAATCACCTCAAGGCTCGTAGCGAAACTGACTCGCCGAAGCATTGCTTGGGGCATCCTGTGTTGTGTGCGCGCAGGCGAAACAGCTCGTGTACAGCGTGGCGTGGCTGCTCGTTGATTCACCTCAGGGCTCATAATGCAACTGGCCCGCACACGCAGCCATGGCATGGCATGTCACACTCACATTAGCCTTCTTCTTTCTTGCATGCGTGCAGGTGGACGAGCTTTTGAGGCACCTCAAAAGTCGCAGCCATGGCATGTCACGCTTACATTAGCCTCCTTCGTTCTTGCATGCGTGCAGGTGGACGAGCTCGTGTACAACGTGGCTGCTGGTATCACCGATCTTGGTATCCGGTACTGTCCTGTCCCCTGCTCTCCTCTACTCTCCCCTGCTCTCCTCTACTCTCCCCTGCTCTCCTCTACTCTCCCCTGCTCTCCCCTGCTCTCCTCTGCTCTTGCAACCATCCTCTGCTCGGCTCTTTACTTTTCCACTAAGTCAATCCATGAAAGGTTTTGTCAGGTCCCGCTCCCCATACCCACTCCCCCACTCTCCAACATCCCTATGTCTCCCCGTGACATGCATTGTAATCCCCGAGTGACCGTCCTTCCCTACCGTTGCCCACAAAGCGAGCGAGCATGCCTGAGTGCACCGCTCCATCCTGGAGATGATAGCAACTTCTCCTGCTGTCCCATCCAGTCCAACCGGACGTGTTCCTCCCGCCTTCCCCTGTGCACTCCCGTGTTGCTCCTCCCCAACATGCCTGAGTACGCTGTTCTCCTCCTTGGGACCATCACAGCACCTCCCTCCCAACTCCCGCGACTATCCCCCCTGCCTCCAATTCCCCCCTCAACCCATGCCTCCCTCCCCATGCAGTCCTGGCGTTTTTGTCCGGTTGCTGCTCCCTAACATGCCAGAGTATGGGGTGCTCTTCCTCGGGATCATCGCAGCACCTTACTCCCATCTCCTGCTGTCCTCCCTCCTCCGCTCCACCCCACTCGACCCCTATCTCCCTCCCCATGCAGTCCCGGCGAATCTGTCCTGTTGCTCCTCCCCAACATGCCAGAGTACGCGGTGCTCTTCCTCGGGATCATCGCAGCGGGTGCGGTGGTAACCACCGCCAACCCTCCTTCTTAAGTCAAACCCACCATGTCCCACTCTTTCTCCCCACCCCCCGTATCCCCCCATGCAGTCCTGGCGAGTCCGTCCTACTGCTGCTCCCCAACATGCCAGAGTACGCAGTGCTCTTCCTCGGGATCATCGCAGCGGGTGCGGTGGTAACCACCGCCAACCCCGCCTACAGCGCTCGCGAGCTGGCGCACCAGATGGTGGACGCGGGGGCACGTATGGTCATCACCTCGCCAGAGCTGCTAGGTGCGTACGACTCTGCTTCATTAGTAGGTGCATGTGCTTTACGGTGGTCAGGAGGGTGTCTCGCCAGACAGGTTTCCACTCCTCGCGAGGTGTCCCACCAGATGGTGTCCCAGGGGCACGTATGGTCATCACCTCGCCAGAGCTGTTAGGTGCGAATTGACTTGACTTGACTTAAATTGACTACAACTGCTGGTTACATGGATGGTCATAATCATCAATCTGAGTGATCTGCTGGGTTGGGTACGTTTGCGAGAGCTGCTTGGCAGAGTGTGTGTGAGGACAGGTGACGCTATGCAATGTTCTGAAATGCCATGCCACCCCATGTGTGCGACTGCTGCAATGCCATGTATGATGTATCTGCTGCAGCATTACTCACTCACATCACACCCCTCCACTCCACCTTCACACCCTTCCACCCTCACCCCCTCCATCTCCACCCCCTCCATGACCCCTCTTGCATGACCCTCCAGAGAAGGTGCATCACGTGAAGACAGGCCAGTCCATTGTCTTTGTCATCATCAATAACGACAGCAGCAGCAGCTCCAACCCCCCTGGCACGATGAGCATGGACGGCTTGCTCCGTGGCAAGGGGTCCAAGATCCGATCACAGCGACAACTCCTCCACACGACCCATCAGCAACAGCAACACCACCCCTCTTTCACAGCACAAAAAGCACCACCAACAGCAGCAGCGGTACCCTCCCAGCACGACACCTGCGCGCTGCCCTACTCATCAGGCACAACGGGCGTGTCTAAAGGCGTCATGCTCTCCCACCGCAACCTCATAGCCAACGTGCAGCAGCTGCTGGCAGGCACCAACCCGCGCCTGGACCTGTGTGCAGAGGACGTGGTGCTGGGGCTACTGCCCATGTTCCACATCTACGCCATCACCCTCGTCAACCTCCTCTCCCTCCGCGGTGGGGCTTGTGTTGTCACCCTCCCCAGGTGCGTCCTTCCCCATGAAAACCCTTGCGCAGTGCACCTGCAGCAGTACGTGCAGCAGAAACCCCCTCTCCCCTAGGCCCCGGCTGGACCTGTCTCCTCAGGACGTGGTGTTGGGGATGCTGCCAATGTTCCACATCTACGCCATCACCCTCGTCAACCTCCTCTCGCTGCGTGGCGGCGCGTGCGTCGTCACCCTTCCCAGGTAAACCCTGCTGCACCTGTGGCTGGTGGCAGGCAGTAACCCGCGGGTGAACCTTCCTCACCAGGACATGGTGTTGGGGCTGCTGCCAATGTTCCACATCTACGCCATCACCCTCGTCAACCTCCTCTCGCTCCGAGCTGGTGCTTGTGTGGTCACCCTTCCCAGGTAAGCCCTTCTCCCCAGCTGCGACCTGCTGCAGTACCTGCGTTGTCACTCCCCCAGGTGCGACCTGCTGCAGTACCTGCGTTGTCACTCCCCCAGGTGCGATCTGCTGCAGTACCTGCGTTGTCACTCCCCCAGGTGCGATCTGCTGCAGTACCTGCGTTGTCACTCCCCCAGGTGCGATCTGCTGCAGTACCTGCGTTGTCACTCCCCCAGGTGCGATCTGCTGCAGTACCTGCGTTGTCACTCCCCCAGGTGCGATCTGCTGCAGTACCTGCGTTGTCACTCCCCCAGGTGCGATCTGCTGCAGTACCTGCGTTGTCACTCCCCCAGGTGCGATCTGCTGCAGTACCTGCGTTGTCACTCCCCCAGGTGCGATCTGCTGCAGTACCTGCGTTGTCACTCCCCCAGGTGCGATCTGCTGCAGTACCTGCGTTGTCACTCCCCCAGGTGCGATCTGCTGCAGTACCTGCGTTGTCACTCCCCCAGGTGCGATCTGCTGCAGTACCTGCGTTGTCACTCCCCCAGGTGCGATCTGCTGCAATACCTGCGTTGTCACTCCCCCAGGTGCGACCTGCTGCAGTACCTGCGTTGTC